CAGATAATTTGTCTGTAACTAAAAATAGTGTATGAAGACTCCCATTAATGACTCTGTCCATTTTCCTTGAATTTCTAGCACTTTATATATTTTGCCACTGTTATTCATCAGGTACATGTTCACAAAGGTTTCAGATTTGTCATAAACAGTAGCCTTTATCAATGCAATAAAATGTTGTTTTAAATATATGAGAGTAGAAAGTAAATTAGTTTATAAAAACAGCAATTTGAACTCCTACTGCAAACCCCCTGGTGACCTGGTATTTTGGAACCCATACATGGAAACATGAAGCACCAGAATGAAAGATATCAACAAGGGAGAGTTTATACTCTACTAGAAGGCCCAAAAATTAATTTGCCAAAACATCCCATTTGGTGTTCAAAACATTTTTAAAATAATGTTTTTAATATGGATACGGTTGGTGATTGCCATAACCAGTGTTCAGTATTTCAGTATATCCTGCCATTTTTAAGAACTTCAATACTGGTTATCTACTTGCTATTATTCAGCAATAATATAATTTTTGTCTCATGACATATGCAGTTATATATGAAGTTTGGGCTGTACAAAGGCACCTGACCATATCCTTTCCCTTTTAAAAATCCTTCCAAGTTGTATTCTTATTATTTGCTTTTTAAATGCCCCTTTCCTTGATGATTACTATGGGTAATTTTCCCTAGAGTTACTAGTTATCTGGATTTCTCCCAGAACCAGTTTGGGCCACATCTACTTTCAGAAGTTCTTGGTGTAGCCAACTTTTACCTATGGAATAGGTGGAAGGTCAAGGAAGGGGGGTATGATAGGGAGCAGGGAGGAAGGGAAAGGGTTCCACACTTAGTTCCCAGCTTGCCTGCCTCCATCTAGTCCCAGGGCCATATTCCCTTGCTCCTCCTGCCTTTTGTCTTCCGGGGCCATCTTTATTGTCTTGGAACTTGACTCTTCCTTCCCTAGAATTAAATTTATTTTCTCCAGGATCTTCTTTCCCCATATCTGACCTGCACAGACTGCAGCCAGAAAGCCAAGGTCAGTCCTAGACCTTGGTCATCTCTCAGGTAGGTAAGGACAAAGTAGAGATGACAAGGGAAACCAGAGTCCACTTTTTAACCAAACACTGGTGTCAGTTTCAGTGACACCAAATAGATACTGAAAAGCTAGCATTGTCACTTTGCTCTAGTATTACAACCAATTGTTATAGCAGAGTTGAAAATGAAGTATCTAGGGTCAATTATAAGTTAACTATTAAGATAGCTGCCTCTGGACCACCCGAGAAGAAACTATTGCCCAATCCAGCCCAGACATGGATTGAAGTAGTCAAGGATGTGAACATTAAGGAATAGAGATTATGTGCTGACCTTTTGCTTTTTAATTTTTGTATTTTTTACTCTCTAAAATCCACAGGTTTGATCTGGGGAAAATAAGCTAATTCAGTCTAAGATGGGTTTATTTGAGCTAAAAAAAAAAATCTAGAAGAAATTTCCTGTTTGGTCATAGCCTACCTCCTAATAAAGTATCCCCCAAAGGCAAACAGAGTTGTCACCCAATTGACTAAACATACAATTATTTGAAAACCATGGCCAAAAGGCATGATCCTTTATAAACAAACTGCTCAAATATATTGTGCACACAAGGCCCATGCTTTTTGTTTAATGTGGCTATAATCAAATCTGATATCAGACAAGAGAGAGAGGGACACAAATAAAAGTAAGTTCTTTAATTAAACTTTGAGGCACAATCCACACCTGAGTTTTGATGTGTAGATGGAACCCTGGGACATCTTTTGCTAATAACATAAATGAGAGAAGCAGCTCTGCGCACATAATACATTAACCATTTTCTCCAGCCTCAAACATTTCGCCTCAAACTCATTCCTTCTCACAACTGGTTATATAAGCAGTACTCACTGGGTACAGAACGGTATTAATGTGTAGGAAATACGGTTAATTAACAGACCCATCTCCTTTAGGATGTTGATTGTAGTTATGAAGTGTCAAAATGAGAAATTTTATCAATTTTGGCCACAAGTCTAAAAAGACACTCTGCAATGACTTCATAGTCTCACTATATTTATGGCATCACTTGGTTTTTGAGTCAAGAAGAAAAAAAACTCTCCAATCCGTTGTATAAGTATGAAACTTCAGAGACTAACTACTCGGACTTCTCAGTGATGCCTCACTTTACCTAACATGGGCAGAAATGCTTCGATCCAGCCCTTTAAAATATATGAACTATTATTACTTTTTATTTTTTTGCAGAGGCAGTTATTAGCTAAGAGACTATATAAAAGGAACTGGAAAAGGAAATAAGCCTTTGTCAAAAACTGCGCCATGATTATGCAAGATTCAACAGGCTCTGAGAGGTATGCCAAACCCTTCTCCTTTCAAGGTAGCTGACCTTGGATTAGCTTTCTAGCTCGGTTCCCCTGGAAACCTGATGAAAAGTGGACCATCAGCTGTGTGACCAGGAGAGCTTGATTCCAATAAAATGCCCTGGGTGGTACCTTGTGTCCAAGCTGGGAGGGCTTTGAGTGGTTGTAAACACCTGCTAGGAGTCACAGCTCTGGCTTCCCAAGTGCAGTGTACCTGTTGTTCCCTGGATCTGTCTGGTCAGGATATGCGGATGCTATGCACAGGGGATTTTTCCAAGAGGTAGTGGTCCCTTAGGGCTTCTAAACCAGGGGGCTGCTGCACCCACTTGTGTAGTCTGTGGGGACTGCTACAAAAATTCCCACAGAACTGTGCCTAAGGGTGTCCCCTGGCGTGGGCTCTTGCCTGTCCTGTGTCCTTCAGAGTAAACTGGTGTCACACATGGCCCAGCCAGGTCTTGGGAGTTTAAATGTGCATTTGAACCCAAGGCCAGCTGTGGTGGGTGTTGCCCATGCACTCACTCAGCGTCTTCAGAGAAGACACAATGCCACATTAGTACCAAATAGGCACAGACATGGCTAGCAAAAGGGTATGGGATTAGCCCAGCCGGTGTGGCTCAATGGTTGCGCATCAACCCATGAACCGAGAGGTCATGGGTTAGATTCCAGGTCAGGGCACATGCCCAGGTTTTGAGCTTGATCTCCAGTAAAGGGTGTGCAGGAGGCAGCCGATCGATGTTTCTCTCATCGATGTTTCTATCTCTATATCCTTCTCCTTTCCTCTCTCTCAAATCAGTAAAAACTTATTTTTAAAAAGCGGGATATGGGATTAGAACCAACCAAGACAAACCTTTAAGAAATGGTTTAAGACTCTTAGAGGTATCACTGAAGTTTAGGACAGAGAATAGCAAACATACAGGCAAACAAGAGCATTCATTAAAGGATTGAACTTAACATTTTTACCAAACTTAGATAAAAATAAAGCAGCAAGGCATCATGATACAGAGGGAGGGAAGTTCACTCAGGAGCTGGATCTGCGTCTCACTCTGGCTATGCAGCCTTGGGTACGGTCCTCCCTCGGCAGCCATGCATGTCTATGTGGTAGAGGAAGGTAGTGGCAGCGGGGACGATGAACTATGCTTTCTTTCCATCAGCCCCCACTGTTGCTTCTGACAAAACTCGTCTGTTAAGCCCAGAAAATAAATTGCTATAATTGTTAACTCCATAATTACATTTTTGGTAATCTTGTCTCAGAAAAAAATCCTAAAAACAAGAAAAAGCCTCATGTATAAACTGAATTGTTACTTAGAGAAAAAAATTAAAACCACCCAAACGTCTGTGAATCAGTATACTAGAGGTTCACCCATCAGACTACTACTATGAAATTAGTATGTTAATGTAATAGCACTATCTAATAGGCAAATTCCATGTTAAGTAAAGAATGGATAAAAATTACACAGTAAAAAATATTTCAATTATGTTTTTTTTTAAAAAAAAACACAAAACCTATGCACAGAAAAAAAATGGAAGACAAAATGTTAAGTGAGACTACAAGTGAAACTTAAAATCTTTTCCCCCTATTTTCTAAATTTTCTCAGATGAACATCGATTTTATAATGGAAAAACAGTTAAATTTCAATTGCAATTCCAACATACTTGTTACCCAGTATCGTTTTGCAGTCAATCTTTTGCCCTTACCTTCCCTAGGCATATTATACTAATATTAAGATTAAGCTTGAAAATATCATGTCAAATCAGATTGATTATGTTATTCTGAAAGTGTAAGCCATTATGAGAAATAATCTGGCTAAGGCAGAATTTAAATCTTTCTTTTACTTAATTAACAGAGCCTAACATCATTCCTGAAACATACTGTGTGTGTGTGTGTGTACACATAAATAATTAACTTAATTTTTGTTCTCATTCATATTTCTAAAGAGCTGTGTCTCTTCATATTGCCTGGAATACCCAAAAATTCATATTTTAATTTTTATGGACTTAAACTAAGAAAATAAAGAACTGAGCAAATCATTCCTGTACTGATATTACCAAAGATGTTTTGTACCAATATAGTAACCATAGTAAAGTTTTGGGGAAAGTAGCACTTACAACATTTTAAGATGTTCACAAACCTCAAATTCTAAAACATGGGAATTTAAAATTATGAAAGAAAAACTGACTCAAGGAACTTTGGTATCTTTCAGATTTAACTTCCCAATTGTTTGCTTATCTGCAAGCTTTCCAGAGGGATTTTTTAAAAATATATTTTTAATGATTTCAGAGAGAGGAAGGGAGAGGGGGAGAGAGACAGAGAGAGAGAAAGAAACAGACAGGCAGAGAGAGAGAAACATCAATGAGTCACTGACCGGCTGCCTCCTGCACACTCCCTGCTAGGGATGGAGCCCGCAACCCGGGCATGTGCCCTGACCGGGAATCGAACCTCCATCTCCTGGATCATAGGCCAATGCTCAACCGCTGAGCCACGCTGGCTGGGCCTTCCAAAGGGATTTTATGTTTTTCCTACAAACATAAGAAGTTCTTGGGACATGCAAGTTATATATACAAGAAAATAAACTTTACAAATATGTGAAAGGACCCATGTTAACTTTAGAAAGAATAATATGAAAAAGGTGCCATGCCAGTTTTAACTTCAGTTTTAATATCATGAAATACAAGTACAAAACATTGTACAAGTATACTTTTTGCTACATGGAGATGGAATAATACATTTGTGTTTTCACCAGAATCTGTATCACCCACTACTATTCCTATAAGGTTTTGAATAAAAAACACAAGTCTTTTCAACCACTGATTTTAATCTTAATATTCCTGTTCAGCTGCTTTGGAGGACTACAAAATCACCTTAGCCAAGAGTTTTGAGTGGGTAATTTTGTTATTTCATGCTGGCTGAAATCTCCCTTATGCTGGCATTGCAAAGACACTGTGCACTTACAGAGGATAAGAAAAAGTATTGTCTTAATAGCCCTCTTAATATTTAGGAAGGCAAAAGACCATTTCCTGTAAAGTACAGAATATTATAATAAATAACAGCAACAGAGGACCATAAAGCCCCACATGTATTAAAGAAAAGCAAGTTTGCAAATATTCAAGTGAGAGTAACATCAGCTAATAAAGAAGAAGTAAATTGTCCTAAAGTGTCCAGAATTCAGCCTCCATCAGTTTTCAGCCATTTGAACTAAGACTTTTCTTATGAAAAACAAACAATGATGAAAGTAGCATTTAATTTGTTGGAAATGCACCAAAAAAAAAATAAAAATACTGCTAATTCCATAAAATATTTGAAACTAATTTTGTTTTTATAAATAAATAAAATGGTGTTGGTGTTTATTTCTTTTTAAAGTTTTAATTATCATTCTTACTGTTTTAAAAAAAACATTCAAACTAATGTCAACCTTTACAAATAAACTTTGGAATATTTAAAAGAACATGTTTGGAAAACTGAACCACATTTTTCATTGCCAGAATTATGCTTTGTTCTTGGTAGAATCATCTTTGTTTCTTCTTTTTACATCCCAATTATAAACCCTGGCCATATCTGCAAGAACTGTTAAAGAAAATGCAAATGCAATTCTAAAGATAACATATGCAATGACTAAGTACGCACTCACACACTGAATCAAAGACAGAGATCACACATGCAAAATACTGGTGACAAGTAGCGCTGTGAGACATCTTGCTATAATATCATTTGCTAAGAAAATACTGGAACTAAATTCCACCAAAACAAAATCAAGGCCTCAAATCAACAACTGTTTAACACAGCCCGGCCAGCGTGGCTCAGTGGTTGAGCGACAACCTAGGAACCAGGAGGTCACGGTTCGATTCCCAGTCAGGGCACACGCCCGGGTTGCGGAGCCTGCAGGAGGCAGTTGATCAATGAGTCTCTCACTGATGTTTCTATCTCTCCCTCTCCCTTCCTCTCTCTGAAATCAATAAAAACATATTTTTTAAAAAGCAATTGTTTAGCATACATAATCAACTATGGTATTATGTTTATCAAATATGTGCTTGACACTGCCAACAGTTTTAAAGACAGCCCCTCATTCACAAAATTTCAAAGAACATTCAAACCATATCCTGATATGTAATATTTAAATTAGTACAATTTGACTATCAATAATTTTATCTTTTACCTTCCCTTGGGTTCAATAGGACATTCACTCAATTTATTAAGTACCTACATCTTTTCCCTTCCACAAGCATCACCCTGCATAAGCAGCACTCTCACATATCAATTACTTCTTTCATGGACTGTGACTTTGGTGTTATATCCAAAAAGCCATCATGGTATTCAAGGTCAGCTAGGTTTTCTCCTGTTACCTTCTAGGAATTGTACAAATATTTTTCCTCTGGATGAAGTTTTTATATTCAAGTCACACGCCACTCCCACTGTAGGCCTCCAACAGGCCTGACTTCCCTCACCCAAGCACTCAACCCCTGTGGGGTGCTACATGCTGTGAAGAGAAGACAGAAAGTACGGCTTCTACACTCGAAGAGCTCTCATCTGACATGGAAAACAAACAAAGAACGATGTGCAAAGTGCTAAGCAAGCACGCCTGAGAGGATTAGAAGCTGTTAGAAATGTTCCAATGCTTGTGCTTAAATATGAAGGATAAAAAGTAACCCAGGTAAATAGGAGGAACTCATTCTAGGGAGGAGGAACGAAGTGAGGGAAAGTAGAGGGCCTGGCCCTTTTCATCAGGAGAATAACTGCACAGGATTATCTGGGCTCCAGGGCGCACTGGGCGAGGGCCAGGGCAGAAGGAAGTCAGTGGCATGAGGTAAGACTGATTGGTCTAAGGATAAGAACATTCTTCTCATTAAAGCAATGCAAGTAAGAATGTTTAAAACATCTTTATCCTTTCCTCCCTTTGTTTCTTTTTTAAAGAAAGGATACTGACTTCGGTGGTAGTAAATTGATCTCGAAGAAAGTCAAGGTCTTCCTCAAGAGAATCGAGATTCTTTGTGGCAGTTGATAAATTCTTTTCCAACAATGCCTGAGCTTCGTCAATATCATATTCAAGCATTACATTAGCCTGAAGAGAGAAAGTCATGACAATTACTAAACATTTACATAGTGCTTTATAGGTTAGAGCAGGGATTGGGCAAAATCCAGCTGGCTGCCTTTTGTCTTAAGTTTGATTAGAATCCAGCTATATCCCCTCACTGCTTTCCTGCCAGTGGCAGGGCTGAGTAGTTGTGACAGAGACCGAGTGGTCTGCAAAACCAAAAATATCTACTCTCTGGCCTTTCATGAATGTTTAATGACTCCTAGGTTAGAGAATATATTTACATACATTAGATCATTTACTCCTCATGACAACCCTGGTGAGGCAAATTATCTTCATCTTTACAGTTAAGAAAACAGGTTCAGAGAGGTCAGATTGCTTATGCTTGCATTGTTAGTAATGGGAGAACTAGGATAAAAACCAGTATGTTTAGATACCAAATCCTATCTTTCTACTAACTCCATCATGACACTAAATAGTATTACATTTGAATCCATTTACAGTGGTACCTCGGTTTTCGACCGTCTCTGTTGACAAACATTTCAGTTTATGAAAGCAGTAACCTGAAAATGCTTCGGTTTTCGAACATGCCTCGGAAGTCGAACATGCCCCACGGCTTCCGCTGAGGGCAAGATCCTGAGGCCCAGCTGTTGGCTGTTGATCCCTCAGTTTCCAAACGTTTCAGAACTCAAACAGTCTTCCAGAACGGATTACATTTGAAAACCGAAGGACCACTGTAAATAGTTGTTTCTGAGCTTAAGATACAGTAATTTAAAAGTTTTCAAATGCATCTACACTTGATCCAATAAGAAAAATAGCTAGCTTTTACTGTCCCCCTCCTACCTCCAACAGACGCTAGGGGTGAAGACAAGGTGACTGTGTCTGGAATTCTGAAGAGCAGGTGTTACTGCCAACACCTGGGGATGCAAGCACTGCGGAGGTGGGGAACCAAACCTTTTCCAGCTCTCAACTCCTCCTATGAACTGACTTACCACCAAGCATTTCCTGAACCACTTTCCTCATCTGACAAATGGAATTTAAAAATTACTCAAAGGACTGTTGTAAGGATCAAATGAGACAACATGAAAGTGTTTGGCACAAAGTTGGTGCTACAAAAATACTGGCTGACTGAATAACACAATCCATGATAATTAGAAAAGAGTATAAAAATTCAGATAGGACAAAAAAATATTCAATGAAAAGTACATGTCTCTCTAATCCTAGACTCACAATCTCATTCCTCAGCATCAATTGCTATTGTTTCTTTTACATTTTTTCCCAGAAAATTTCTGTACTTTGGTTACTTTTAACAAGAAAAAATAGAATACATTTTAAAACACTTCACTCATATCAAAAAATATCAATCATTCCTCAGGAAGTATCCTGTGCCAAGAATTTCTCGTTAGTTGAGTCACTCCACAAACACTGCCTTATCAGCCTCTCCACTTGATGGTCCAATAGGCATTTCAAGACTGTCACCCTGCAAACCTGTTAGTGCTTTGCTGAAATATGAATTACAAATGCTTTTCCTGTTCAGTCTTTTGACTTTGCTTACGACTTCTGACTTCTGTGGCCTAAAAAACCATTCTTATACCAGGGTTACAAAACACATCATCTATGATTTGGCCTAAACTTTGATGGTGTATTTCATGTTAAGTATGTGATCCATGTGGAATTCATCCTGGTGTGAAATATGAGGTAGACTCCAGCCATAATTCTTACCAGAGAATTCCCTGTTGTCCCAGTCTAATTTATGGAATCAACTTATCCCCGCCGGCTGATGGAATGTGGGTGGAAGGAAAGAGCAACCAAGGTGAATGACCCCTAGGAGTGGAGCCACTGGATGAATAGCTGTTCCATTTGCAGAACTAAAGCTAAACAAGTATAGGAATTATGGAATAGAATTAAATGTACAAACTCTGAAAATATTACAACTAACAAAAATCAGGAGGAGGAACTAAGGGATAGAGAAGTGAGTTTCCTTGTACTTAATCTGCCCACCTTTCATTGCACTAGAATGTCTCTCAGGGGTGATTCTACGGAACAGCAGCAAGGGGAAGTCCTCCCGGTAGGGAAAGCTGGGAGCAGTACACTTGACTTTCTTTGTATGGAAACTTGTATGATAACAAGATCTATGGACAGCTGTCTAGACGGTCAGGAACGGCTTGGTTAGGGGACTGAGAAGAAGATAGAAAAAATAAAAGACAAGGACTATGAAATCAGCTAAAATTGAAGTGTATGGTTTAAAAACTGAACTCTAATCTCAAGGTTTTTTTGTAATAATCTTTCCCCCCTTAAGTTTAGAGAGCTCTTTCTACAACTTATAAACTCCTATGGGAAAGAAACATTTGTCTGAGGTTCAGCAGTACCTTCTATTTTACTTCTATTGCTCTTCCTTCTGTTACATATAAGAAATAAAGCATTAGCTGAACAGAAGTAGGATTTTGGTCAGTTCTGTTTGGGAGAGATTCGAGCATGTTTTTATGGCAATCTTCATCACACTCCTAATTTCAGTCAGTTTCTAATATGGAACACTTGAATTCCACCCCTTCCTTCAACAGTCAAAGGAAGACAAGCATTTATACAGCTGGGAAAAACAAATGTCAGCCAAGGAAGCTGCAGCTGTTACATTTACTTACCCCCAACCACAGACACACTTTGTCGGTAGGAGGAACTGAAGCTTTGCAATACAGATTATCTGCCAGTAAGAATCTGGTCTCCAGTGAATTGGTGGACTCCTTCAAAAAAAAATGACAGTACTGTAAACAGGCAAGTTTAATACCAAGGTTATAAAGGGAGAGCTCACAGCTGAACCTAAGCCATTTAAAACAGTACCATCATACAAACTAAGTATAGTTGTAAAAGAAATGAATGCTTGGAGCCAAATGGACATGGATTCTGGCTCAACTGCCCCACTACCTGTGTAAATCTAGCATATCACTTAACCTTTCTGGGTCTCAGGTTCCTCATCTGTAAAATATGGATAATAGTCCCTACACCTCTGAAGGCCATGCGAGCAGAGTTCACACACACACACACACACACACACACACACACACGAGTTAGCTATTATTATTACTTCATCAGTGCTTCATGCCCAACCAACCAGTTTTCTGAACTCTCTTACCAAGTTCACCACATAAAATAATGTACTAGAAATGCAGTTATTCTACCATCAAGTAATAAATCATATATATTCACACATATAACCTTTTAAATACAATATCTTTACAGATTGCTTTTATTTAATGTGTATTGGATTAAGACTCAGAAGATTCTCAAATCCAGTTCTGCTAGTAACTAGCTAACACTGGGTAAGCGTAACCTTTCTGTAACTGTATCCTCAACTGTGAAATGTGAATCTGAAACATAATTTCTAAGATTCTTTGCAGCTCTGTAAGTCTAGACTCACTCCTTGTTCTTAGGGAGAACAGTAACAACAAAAAATCTTAGATACTGCTGCCTCAAAATAAGACATCTTTTTGTATCTAAAACAGTTTCAAATGGCATTTAAGTTCTACAAATACTACACATAAATAAAATAATGCAAGAAGTATGGGCCCTAGAATTAAACCTGATTTAGGGAGGAAAGCCACAAAACCACATTCATCATGGAAGCACACTATCTATGACATCAGTGCATGTGCTCGAGAAGGCTGGCTGGCTCTTCCCGCACAGATCAAATACCAGTGAGCAGAGTTAAGGAAGACTCATCTCTGCTGAAGTATCCTGGTTCACTCACAGTTACAAACAAAAATGCACTTACTTTTTTCTTCTGCATGTATTTTAGAATTTCTAAAGTCTGCTTAATTTCAGGAATCTGACCTTTTAGCCTGTGAATAAGAGAAAAGGTTAACTTAGTATTTTGCAGCAAGAATAAACACCAGGACACAGTCTTACAAGTTTTGCATGTTCTATTGATATGCTCTTGAGGGCTATTTACAAATATAAACTATTTAAAATACTTCATATTTAAGATATTTAATAAAGTTTATTAAAATATCTATATTTCAGATGTTTAAGATATAAATATTTACTAAAAAATTTAGATAGCAAATATTTACAGAATGCCTATTGTAAACAAAGCCCCATTCTGTCAAACATCCCATCATTACTTAACATTTCTAGATCAAACCATATTCCAGAGATGATTCAGAGGTTCCACAACTGATTAGAACTGCATTTTAAATAGATTAACTTTAAAAATAATATGCATTCAAATATTATATTCTAAATTTGAAACCCCTGGAAACCACCAACTCCCTATCCAGTGCTGCATGCAGCTGCTCCTGGCGAGTGCGCTCAGTGCACAGACATATACATCATAGTCAGCTCAATGTCAGCAAAGTACAGTGACAGCTTCTCAGTGCTTATGCTTGTCACACTATAAGAAATGTATAATATCACCTGAATGTGTAACACACCACAATATGACACAGTATTATTTTAGTGATTCTTTTAAGCTTTGGATAATTTTTCTTTAACTTTTTAAGTTGATAAATGCTATTTTATTTTCAAGTCAGGTAACAACTGCTCTTAAAATTACATGGATCACTGGTTTAAACACAGAAATTTAAGAAAATGATGATGGGCATGATGGGATTAATCATACACAACAGGTAAGCTATATTATAACTTCTAGCAAAACTACAAGCCCAGCACAACTGGACATCCACACACAAAAAAGTGCATCTAGACACAGGCTTTATACACTTCACAAAAATCATGTCAAAATGAATCACAGACCTAAATGTAAAAACACAAAAACTATAAAGCTCCTAGAAGATAAAACAGGAGAAAATCTAGGTGACCTTGAGTGTGGTGATGACTTTTTAGATAAACACCAAAGACACAATCCATGAAAGAAACAACTGATATGCTGAACTTCATTAAAATTAAAAACTTCTGCTCTGCAAAAAACACTGTCAAGAGAATGAAAAGACAAGCCACAGACTAGAAGAAAATCTTTGTTAAAGAAGTACCTATTAGAAGACTATACAAAATATACAAAGAACTCTTAAAACTTAACAGTAAGAAAACAAGCAACTTGTTTTAAAAATGGGCCAAAGACCTTAACAGACACCTTCACCAAAGAAGATACATAGCTGGAAAATAAGCATATGAACAGTTGCTCCACATCATATGTCATCAGGGAAATGCAAATTAAAACAAGAAGGAGATACCACTACACACCTATCAGAATGGCCAAAATCCAGAACACTGACACCAAATGCTGGTGAGGATGCTGCTAGCAACAGGAACTCTAATCAATTGCCATTGGGAATGCAAAATGGTACAGCCACTTTGGAAGACAGTCTAGCAGTTTCTTTCAAAACTAAACATACTCTTTCCATATGATCCAGCAATCACAATCTGTTGGTATTTACCCAAAGGAGTTTAACACTTACATCCACACAAAACCAGCACACAGAGGTTTACAGCAGTTTTATTCACACTGGACAAAACCTGGAAGCAACTAAGATGTCCTTCAGAAGATGGATGTATAAATAAACTATGATATATCCAACAGTGGAATATTATCAGCACGAAAAAGAAATGGATAATCAGGCCATGAAAAGACATGGAGGAAACTTAAATGCATATTACTAAGTGAATGAGGTCAATCTGAAAAGGCCACACAGGGCATGATTCCAACTACATGACATGCTGGAAAAGACAAAACTATGGAGACAGTAAAAGGATCGTGGTTGCCAGAGTACAGGGGGAAGGGAGGGATGAACAGGCAGAACACAAGACAATTCTTAGGGCAGTAAAACTACTCTATATGAGACTATAATGGTAGACACATGATAACATACATTTGTCAAAACTCATAGAATGTACAGGACAACAGTACAGCCTAAAGTAAACTATGGGCTTTAGTTGTTAATAATATACCAATACTGGCTTATCAGTTCTAACAGATAAACCACTCTAGTGGAGGAGGGTGGCAATGGGGGAGGCTATGCATGTTTCAGGGGCAGGGGGTACATGGGATATTTCTGTATCTTCTGCTCAATTTCGCTATAAGCCAAAAACTATTCTAAAAAAAAAGTCTATTACAAAATAATTTAAACAAAACTACTAGCAACTGATTCCCAAATGAAATCAGCCTCATTGACAAGAAAATAAGACACAAAAATATGCTGAAACACTCCAAGTTACTGAGGAAAGAATAAAACATTTTTTTGTCACTAAGGTTGAGTTCTTTTTTATGATGATTAGAAACTGTCCAAGGCTTTAATGTGTTTTGCATGGGAAAATATGCAAAATAGTTCTGGCAAATCAACATAATTTGTAACAAAACAGACTTAAAAATACAAAAACAAAGCTGTGGTTCTTTCAGAATACACTTAACTAAATATTATTGGAAATCAGTATGTAAATAAAATTTAAATATGATAGTGAAAATGAACTTATTGCATCATATAAAGGAAGTCACAGAATGTGCAAAGGAGGCTAGCAAAGCAAACTTCATTACACCCTATGGTACTAACCTGGCAAGAAATGTGTTGATGAGCCTGCTGCTTAAAAAAGTAGTATCACTATCTGTTAATAGAGTGAATAATCTAGAAACACACACTTAGCGTTCTTTTTTTTTTTTACTTAGTTTGAAGGCTAGTGTTCTGTGAACTCTTTACAATTCAATATGGATGTTGTAGATCTCTCAATTTTGCTTATTTTTGTATGATATGCTGACATAGTTAAAAGCCAGAAAGAAGTAGATGTATTCATTTGTAAAGTATCTGATACACACACAAGTATGTTCAGATCACGGTTTTTGACCATGAAAATTATTTCTATGATATGTTTTTGTATGTATAAATATCACATGTAATATATAAATTATTATTCATATTAATAAATCAAGCAGCTGCAGCCCCAGCCAAATTAGGAACCAGACTGCCAAGGTCACTGTGCATGTCCAAGCAATACATCCCTCCCCACCTTTCTCCATCCCAAGAGATAGCAGCTCTGTGCACAGTCCCTTTACCCTTTTTCAAATAGGTTCATCACATTTATGTGTATCTCTAAACAATATATTCTTTACTGGTTCCTTAGCTTTCTACAAATGCTGTATGCATTTTGGGGGATTTGCTTTTTAAACTCATTTAGTTTCCTAGGATTTTTCGTGCATTTTCACGGCTGTGCAATATTCATTCATGAATACAAAACAACTTATCTACTCTCCTGTTAATGGACACTTGGGTCAGTTCTTGGTCTTTGTTATTATATGAAACAGCAGAAATCTCTAGGTCCTGGAAGTGGGTAGGGGAATGAGGGAGCTCAGAAAGGAAGTAGACCAAGTCTTCAATAGGGGAGTAGACTAAGGGAGAACTTTCTGAGTGTTTTTTCTCCTTCTAAATTGCCCTGGGTAAATCACAATACCTAGCCCATAACTGTTACAGGGTGGAAAAACAGTACAATTGGCCAGAGGCAGAGAGAAGGTCAAGGAGGAACTGGTAAGATAAGTACATACTGGCCCTCAGCAGTCTCCACTCCCCACTCCCACACCCAGGGGAGATGACAGTGGAAATAGCCAGGGCAAAGGAACAGAAAGAATACCCAGTTGACCAAGTTACTTGGTTGGGGAGAAGGAGCATTTGTCTAATGGCCATGCCCTAAATTTTAACATCAGCAGCATTCTTCCTACCCCTCCAAACCATGAGGGACTTAAATTACTCCCACCCCCATATACATTACTGGCCAAAAAAATATCCCTGAGAGAATATGAGCTGACAGGGAAAAGAAATGATAACCTGATAAATTCAACTATAATTATTAAAGAAAATAAACTCAACAACCTCTATCCAAACAAACAAAATTAAATACTAAAAGATAACACTATATAGTACATAAAATACCTCAAAGAGAAAAGACAGGATATTGGTAATATGAAGAAGAAACAAGTACACATAATAAGAACCAACCAAAACTATTAGGTATAAAAAATGTGATGGTTGTGCCCGGCTGGGCGTGGTTGAGCAGTTGAGCAGCGACCTAGGATCCAGGAGACCACGGTTTGATTTCCGGTCAGGGCACATGCCCCGGTTGCGGGCTTGAACCCCAGCTGGTGGCGAGCAGGAGGCAGCCAATCAATGACTCTCTCATCATTGATGTCCTATCTCTCTCTCTTCCTCTCGTCCCTTCCTTTCTCTGAAATCAATAAAGATATATATATATATTTTAAAATGTGATGGTTGAAATCTAAAGAACTCATGGATATTTATGTAATTGTCAAAAGACAAATTACATACAAAGTCAGAAGAAGAGAATATGATAAAAAGAAACGGAACACAGAATTGGAAGTGTCAAACATTCATATTAACAGGAAATCCCAGGAAAGGAGGAAAAAAACTTAACAGACAGAAAAAAACAATGGCAATCATAAAATTTCGTTAAAGAAAGATAAAAGGCATATGATTCATGTATTAAAGAGATCATCACAAGAGAATTATGAGACACTAATGAACTTTTACATAGCTGAAGGTCAAGTTAAACATAAATGACAGACTATAAGAAAAGATTTACAACACATGTGAAGAAAAAGGTCCGTATTCAAACTACATAGGGCCATCCGCTGCAAAAAAACTCAATCATGCACAAAAATAGTTTTTGTTGCATAGCTGACATCACAGAAGTGAGGGGAATTCAAGAAAAAATAAAAGAGAAAAAAACTAGAAAAGGCTTTGAGTTAAACAGTGAGAGCAGGAGAAAAGTAGGCACCATGAGGCAGGTACCAATACCAGCTATAGACCTAAATCTGGGCCCCTGATTAGCTTACTCAGGGAGTTTGCATATTAAGCTCAAGAACTTGGAACAGAGCTCAAGTGGTTCAAGGCTGGTATAGGTTCATAGCCCTAAGCAAAAGCAAAAGCAAAACCTCTATGGATAAAGGCAAACCACAAAGGTATACAGTTACAGGAAGCTGACATATATGGTTGCCCCATGAATACATGGTTTTGAACTGTGTGGGTCCACTTACACATGGATATTTTTCAATAAATATTGTATATATATTTTCTCTTCCTTATGATTTTAGTATTTTATTTTCTCTAGCTTACTTTACTGTAAAAATACAGTATATAATACATATAACATACAAAACATGTGCTAATCAACTATGTTATCGGTAATGCTTCCACTCAACAGTAGGCTGGCTAATCAGTAAATTTTTGAGTTTTGACTGCGTGGAGGGGGATCTCGACCTCTCTAACCCCTGCATTACTCAAGGGTCAAACGTAGTTAGTTAAGAAAGAAGTTAAGAAAGATTTCCACATAAACAAATTATAATGAAATAAAGCAAGAGATAACCTTGAAAGTATCTAAAAAGAATAAATTGTTTATGTAAAAAGATAGGCTGGATATAAAAACAATAACCATATGTTGTTTACATGGAACACCCTTAAATATAAATAATAAAAATGTTGAAAGTAAAGGGATTGGAAAAGATACACCAAGTAACGTTAGCCAAAAGAAAGCTGGGGTCGCTGTAAGTATCCAACAAAACAGATTTTAACACAATAAGTATTATTTTATATAGGGTTAAATTCACCAAGAAGATGTAATTCTCAGATTGCATGCACCTAATAAAATAGACTAAAAAACTAAAAAGGCTTTTTAAAGGATAGAAATTGTTTCAGGTTAAGATAGCAAGAGACCAGGACTCCCACCTCTAACCACTCAAATAGCCAGAGAAAGTACACCTCTTTGCTGGAAGGCAGCAGAGAGCTGCTGGGGTGATAGGAACTACAGGGCTAAGATACCGGCAAGGGAAGAAACTGAGAGGTGAGCTGATTTCCTATAGCCACTTTTACCAAATAGTACATGAGGGGATGTTTCTTTTTATAGAAGTATGCCAGCTTATTAATAAATAAAAAAGGAATAACTGAATTAGAACATCATCATCTTATAATTCATAATTCATGGATCTAGGCTTTGAGTATCATAAAAGGGACAACTAAATACTATTTGTCTCTTAATGGAAGAACAATACATAAACTTATGAAGCAGTGTTGCCCTCAAAAAGCCTTAATATGATCAAGACTGTAGATCCAACTATCAATTTATAGTAAACACAGAAGACAAAGAAACGCTTGAAAATCCCACAATTGCTTTGAAATTTAGCAACACACTTCTGAATAACCCATGAATTATAGATCTAAATGTGAAAGATAAATCAATAAAGCTTTAAGAATAAAGCACTAAGAGAATATCTTCATGAACTTGGGCTAGGCAAACATTTCTTACAAAGGATATAAAAAGCACTAATCACTAAGGGAAAAGATTGCTAAATAGGACTTTAATAAAAGGTATTTAGATCAGAGCTGGAATTTGGGGAAAAACTGTCAATTTTCTAAAAGTTTGTCATACAAGGTTATTTTTTTTTTAAAACTTGGAAATTTCTATAATTACCTCCTTTTCTTCTGAGCAAGGTTTAGTTCCATAAACTTATACTTCTGGTACTGCTCATCCAGCTTCTTTAGTACTGCATCCGCAGTCTCATTCCCAGGCTGTTTCATAAAGGAATCCACATCTTCCTTTAATATCAAAAACAATACATTTCAAATTTTAGAATTCACACATCGAATCTGATTTACTTTTCTAGCTCTTTTTTTGAAACATAAAACAAAATATTTTGTGTTTCTTTTTCTCCCAAGGCTTAAGTAACTTTAAAAAGTCAGACCATTTCAGACAGTACACATACATTTTGTAGCTAATTTATTCTTCCTCCACCTTCCTCTTTTTATATATTATTTATTTATGTATAGGGAAAGAATGACCTTGCCTGCTTTCTGCATCCCCCTGGGACCCTAGTAGTAAATATGAAAACTACCAACACATTGCCTAGTAATGTGCCCTAGCCACAAAATAATTCAACAAATTGTATGCCAAAATTATTTATTTTGTTACTTGAATTTTTAACAACAAGTTCTACCATAGAAATCATACTAAATATGGTGACTGGGTTCCCAAGGCAAGCCACAATATCTCCTTTTAAGTACCAAGTGGTTGAAATAAAGAAAACCTAGAAGGCAAACAGAACAATCTTTTGTACAGGAACAATTAAGCCAAACAGAATCTGTAAAACCAAAAAGCATTTTAAAAACATAGAGAAGGACCAATGAGATCAAGGATGAAATCAAACACTTCATGGAAAGTAACGAAAATGAACAGACAACAACCCAAAATCTATGGGACGTGGCAAAAGCAGTCTTGAGAGGAAAATTCATAGCATTACAAGCCTATCTCAAGAAACAAGAAAAACATTTAATGAACCATCTAACACAACAACAAAAAGAACTAGAACGAGAACAGCAAGAAAAGCCCCGAGGAAGTAGAAGGAAGGAAATAATAAAGATCAGAGCAGAAATTAATGACATAGAGACTAAAAAAACAATACAAAAAAAATCAATGAAACCAAGAGCTGGTTCTTTGAAAAGATAAATAAGATTGATGCACCTTTAGCCAGACTCACTAAGAAACAAAGAGAGAGGACCCAAATAAATAAAATCAGAAATGAAAGAGGCGATATAACTGACCTAGCAGAAATACAAAGGATTGTAAGAAAATACTATGAGCAACTATATGCCAACAAATTGGACAACATGGGGGAAATAGACAAGTTCCTAGAAGCATACAACCTTCCAAAGTTGAATCAAGAAGAGGCAGAAAAAATGAATAGGCCGATAACAACTAATGAAATTGAAGCAGTAATCAAAAAACTCCCAGCAAACAAAAGTCCTGGTGAGTTTTACCAAACATTCAAAGAAGAATTAACCCCTATTCTATTCAAACTATTCCAAAAAATTCAAGAGGAGGGAAAACTCCCAAACTCTTTTTATGAGGCCAGCATCATCCTAATCCCAAAACCAGATAAAGATACTACAAAGAAAGAAAATTACAGGCCAATATCCCTGATGAACATAGATGCTAAAATCCTCACTAAAATACTAGCAAACCGGATCCAGCAATACATTAAAAAGATCATACATCATGACCAAGTGGGATTTATTCCAGGGATGCAAGGCTGGTACAACATCCGCAAATCAATAAATGTGATACATCACATAAACAAAATGAAGGACAAAAATCATATGATCATATCAATAGACGCAGAAAAAGCATTCGACAAAATCCAGCACCCATTTCTGATAAAAACTCTCAGCAAAGTGGGAATAGAGGGATCATACCTCAACATAATAAAGGCCATATATGACAGACCTACAGCCAACATCATACTCAATGGGCAAAAACTAAAACCATTTCCATTAAAAACAGGAACAAGACAGGGATGTCCACTTTCACCACTCTTATTCAACATAGTACTGGAAGTCCTCGCCATAGCCATCAGACAGGAAGAAAACATAAAAGGTATCCAAATTGGAAAGGAGGAAGTAAAACTGTCATTATTTGCAGATGACATGATATTGTACATAGAAAACCCTAAAGACTCCATCAAAGTACTACTAGATTTGATAAATGAATTTGGCAAGGTAGCTGGATACAAAATCAACATCCGGAAATCAATGGCATTCTTATACACCAACAATGAACTCTCAGAGAGAGAAACTAAAAAAGCAATACCATTTACCATTGCAACTAAAAAAATAAGATACCTAGAAATTAACAAAGAATGTAAAAGACCTGTACTCGGAAAACTACGTGACACTGAAAAAAGAAACAGAGGAAGATTTAAACAGGTGGAAGAACATACCATGCTCACGTATAGGAAAAATTAATATCATTAAAATATCCATACTACCCAAAGCAATTTATAGATTCAATGCAATTCCTATTAAAATACCAACAGCATATTTCACAGATCTAGAAC